CTCTCAAGGCCTCTCAAATAAATAAGAAGTTTTTTAAGTCCATGGGAAAATGGAATTTAAAGTATGAGATTATTTTGGTGCAAAAACAATTTTTAAGGATTTATTTATTTACTATTTTATGTATCTGAAGGGCAGCGTGACAGAAATCTTCAACCTGCTAGTTCACCACAAAATGACTGCAATAGTGAGGTCAGGGTCAGGCTGGAGACAGGAGTCCTGATGGGGGCAGGGGCCCAAGCACTTGGGACATCTCCTGCTACCTACCTTGCAGGGTGTGTTAGCAGGGAGCTAGATCAGAAGCACCAAAGTCTGGACTTGAACCGGCGCTCTGACACAGGATGCGGGTGTTGCAAGTGGCAGCTCAACTCGTTGCACCACAATGCCATGCCGCAAAAACAATATTGAAACCCATGCATAGTTTTTCATATTATGCATAGTCTGAGTATTCTTGGAAAAAATTGCACCAAAATAAGCTCATACTTTAAACTCCCTTTTCCATGGATTTCCTGAAGTACTCTCAGACATACAAGTATGTTGGGTTTTTATACAAAGTCCATTTGAATTTAAGAGGTTTCATGATTTTAAAACCTGTGAAGGGTCGAGATGATGACAGGGGCCGGGGATGTGGCGAAGTAGGCTAAGCCTCCTCCTGCAGCACCAGCATCCCATACGGGCATCAGTTCGAGTCCCAGCTGCTCCACTTCTGATCCAGCTCCCTGCTAATGGCTTGGGAAAGCAATGGAAGATGGTCCAAATGCTTGAGGCCCTGCACTCACATGGGAAACCTGGAAGAATCTCCTGGCTCCTGGCTTCAGATGGGCCCCGTTCCAGCTGTTGCAGCCATCTGAGGAGTAAACCAGTGGATGGAAGATCTCTGTTTCAAGCTCTCCCTGTCTGTAACTCTGCCTCTCAAATAAATAAACAAATCTTAAAACATAAATAAATAAAATTTTAAAAAATAGATGATAGATTCAGCCGAAAGAAAAACTTGAAATGAAAGACAGAAACCCCAGGAATAAAAGAGAACAGCATAGCAGATGAGAGCCAGAATAAAATATTGCATTTTTAAATTATTTAATTTCTAGGGTAGCTCATTAAACTTGCAGACACAAACTGAGTTCTTGGGATTTTGGAGACAACTCAGAAGTTTTCCTCCCATTGCACAGTCATAGAAACGGGGGACAGAGAATGTGGGTGGTAGGCAGCACCCTCGGGGAAGCCAAGAGGAAATACTGAGGGTCCACAGGCACACGGTGGGGTGGCCTGGAGCAGGTGGGGGCCAAGCCCCTGACCCACGCACACTCAGCCCTGCACAGAGGCCTGACAACTGACTACCGTGGCAGCCAGGTCAACAGGCCCAGCACTCACCACGGGGCTTCCGCCAGTGAGAGGGGACAGTAGAGCTGAAGTCCACTCACAGACCGCCTCTCCCACACGGACCATTGGGCAGCCACTTCCTGCTGTGCTCCGAGCATCACCGTCCTGGCCTTTGTCTCTTCAGGTCAATTATTTTGCCTTCTGACTTTTAACGTTGACTAGAAAAAAAGTTAAGAAAATACAAATGGAAAGTGCATGCAGGGCCGGCGCCGCGACTCAATAGGCTAATCCTCCACCTAGCAGCGCTGGCACCCCGGGTTCTAGTCCCGGTCGGGGTGCCAGATTCTGTCCCGGTTGCCCCTCTTCCAGGCCAGCTCTCTGCCCGGGAGTGCAGTGGAGGATGGCCCAAGTGCTTGGGCCCTGCACCCCATGGGAGACCAGGAGGAAGCACCTGGCTCCTGGCTTCGGATCAGCGCAGTGCGCCGGCTACGACGGCCATTGGAGGGTGAACCAACCGCAAAGGAAGACCTTTCTCTCTCTCTCTCTCTCTCTCACTGTCCACTCTGCCTGTAAAAAAATAAAATAAATAAAAATTAAAAAAAAAGAAAGAAAGTGCATGCAAATTAAACTCCTTTATTTGCTCCCTGAGCTTCCTATGCTAGTCCAGTCACATTCGCTAGGGACTCAGCCATGCACAAGAGACAGCCCCTGCCCTGGTGCAGGAGTGACATCAGGGCAGGAGGGAAACAGGCTGCAAACAGGTGGCCTTGCCTCTGGTTTTTTGTTTTTGTTTTTGTTTTGTTTTGTTTTTGACAGAGTTAGACAGTGAGAGAGAGAGAGACAGAGAGAAAGGTCTTCCTTTTCTGTTGGTTCACCCCACAACGGCCGCTGCAGCCGGCACACTGCAGCCAGCGCACCACGCCGATCCGAAGCCAGGAGCCAGGTGCTTCTCCTGGTCTCCCATGGGGTGCAGGGCCCAAGCACTTGGGCCATCCTCCACTGCCTTCCCGGGCCACAGAAGAGAGCTGGCCTGGAAGAGGGGCAACCGGGACAGAATCCGGTGCCCCAACTGGGACTAGAACCTGGGGTGCTGGCGCCGCAGGCGGAGGATTAGCCTAGTGAGCCGCGGCGCCGGCCTTGCTTCTGTTTTTAAGGAGCATCTCTTCTTTAAATCAATCTGATGCACCTCTCACCTCTGCTAATGGGGAAATGCAGAGTTTCCAAATATTGGCAAAAGAATTTAACTTTTTGCTATGTCCTCAAAAGGAATTCAAAGGAAACAGAGGTTCCTTGGAGGCACCTCCTTCTTTTGGGGGGAAGAAACCCACCCAAGCTGGATGGCCTAATACGTTCCTGAAAACCCCCGGTATTACACCCCAAGCATCCTGATGCAGCAAGGGGATTCAGAGTGTGGCCACACACCTGCACCCTCAGCAGGACCGGGGCCCAGCCCAGATCCACCGGGCGAGAGATGCGGGCGCGTGGCGACCCTGCAGGTGTCACAACGCACACTGCATTTGTCTCAAGAGGTTGCTGTTCCCCACATCTGCAACTGCTTACAAATCAGTCACAGGCCAAGTCTGAGCACCTGGTCCTTAGGCAGGAAAAACATGAGGACACAAGGAAGCTCTGCGTAGGGTTACCCTCTGAGAGCGGGGTTTCGCTTGGAACAACCCGGCTCTTTCTGTGTTTCCCTGGCCAAGCCCCGCCTTGCTACTCAATTTCTGTGACCCTGCAGTATCACTGTCGCGTCTCTGTCACTGGTCCCATCAGTCCCACCTAACATTGTGAGCTCTGCATTTCCCGAACGCTCCGGGTGACTGGCTCCTGGCCCTCCGTCCGCACCTGGCTATCAACCTTCAGCCTGAGGGCCCCTTCCTGCAGGATCCTTTGCCTCCGGCCTGCTGTGCAGTCTATGGGACAGGGGCGGCACCACCTCCAAATCGCTCTCTGCTGATGCTGCCCACCGCTTCCCTGCCCACAAGGGTTTCTGCCTGCGTCCTGCAGGGTGCAGCTTCTGAGGTCACAGGTCCACACCACTGCCAGTCAAAAAAAAAAATCTACCCGGGACCAGTGTTGTGGTACAGCCGCTAAGCTAAGCCACCACCTGCAAGGCCAGCATCCCTTCTGAGTGTCGGTTCTAGTCTCTGCTGCTCCACTTCCGATCCAGCTCCTGCTAACGCACCTGGGAAGGCAGCAGACGGTGGCCTGAGTGCTTGGGCCCCCTGCCAACTCCCATGGGAGATCCGGATGGCGTCCCAGGATCCTGGCTTCAGCCAAGACTCAGCCCCAGCTGCTGTGGCCATTTGGGGAGCTAATTTCTAAATTAGCTCCATCATCATGATCATGAGAAATGTTACAGCTGAGAATGGCTGCTACCTGGGCAAAGAGAACGGAGTGGGCGAACTTCAAACACTTGCATGCTGCCCTGGGCGTCAGACAAGCCGGATTCAGCCTCCACCTGAGTCACGGATTAGCAACGAGCTGAGCATGCAACCTAACCCTGAGCATCTCAATTTCCCCACCTGCGGGAGGATGGAGCTGGATTCTCCCGTGACTCCGTCATGCTAGGGTCTCACAATAGACGAAGGGGTCTCACAATAGACGAAGCCCCCAGAGTTTCCATTCAGGAGTACAGATAAAGATGGTTATTATAAAATAGACTGCCAGTGTTACAGCCAGCTGGGAATATTGCCAAGGAGGGTTTTTCTCAAAGGTGAACAACCCGATGGGAAACATCCAGTCTTTTCTAGATGCTATCGACAGTCATCGCATCCTAACTGTTCTAGCTTGAGAAGGTGGCGCCTGCACAGCACTGCATCAAATGCACGCGAAGACGCAGGCAATACAGGAGAGACTTGATCTCACTCAGCTTGCACTGCGTGCTTGCAAATCAAGCCCAGATGGCAGATGGTACAATCGAAGCCCTTGAACGTGACCCAGAAGACTCCACACACACAATCCAGCCTTGTCCGTGCCACACACACACACACACACAGGACACACTCACCCCAAGTCTGCCCCTCCTCCAGGGTGCCTGCATAGTGTCCCCTGCGGCTGGGAATGTCTTGCCCCTTGGCGTGGCTCCCTCCTTCACGACCTCAGGGCTCCACGCGGGTCCCCACGATGCCACGGTGCATCGCAGTACCTCCCTACGCCCTTCCCTAATTTACTTGGTTCCATAATTTCATCTGAAATTATAGCATGCATTTATTTATTTATTTGAACTTCAATACCATCAGTCTCTCAAGCCTCAGTGCCAGCTCATCAGTGAAAGAGTTTCTGTACACCTCTGTATCCACACTGCCCAGAAGCGCAGCTGGCACAGGGAAGGCACTGCGTAGATGTTTGTAAAATCAATGAATGGGCCGGCGCCGCAGCTCACTAGGCTAATCCTCCGCCTTGCGGCGCCAGCACACCGGGTTCTAGTCCCGGATGGGGCTCCGGATTCTGTCCCGGTTGCCCCTCTCCCAGGCCAGCTCTCTGCTGTGGCCAGAGAGTACAGTGGAGGATGGCCCAAGTGCTTGGGCCCTGCACCCCATGAGAGACCAGGAGAAGCACCTGGCTCCTGCCATCGGATCAGTGCGGTGCGCCGCCCACAGCGCACCAGCCATAGTGGCCATTGGAGGGTGAACCAACAGCAAAAGGAGGACCTTTCTCTCTGTCTCTCTCTCTCACTGTCCACTCTGCCTGTCAAAAAATAAAAAAAAAAAAAAGTCAATGAATGAGCACACAGTTTTTTCATCAAACAATTAAGGGGGGGGACACAAAGAGGCTTTAAACAAGAAAAATCAAAATGATTTAGCTAAACCATGTAAGCTACAAGTCTATATAGCTAGAAGCTTAGAAATTGTTCACACGAAGAAAATGTGAAAATCGCATTTTATTAAGAACTGCCAAGGCTATGTTTCACACTAGTGCCACTGTTGCAACTTCCTAGACTGAAAATCTCAGCCCTTTGAGAGGACTACGACAAGCCTGCGGAAGAGAGGAGAGGAGTTTTGAGGTACTCATTTGGGGCAGTGGTTACGGCACTGCTGGGGTTGCTGGCATCCCACAGGTGAGTGTCCGGTTCCAACCAGCACTCAGCAAATGCACGTTCAGGGAGGTGACGGCCAATGTGCTTGGGCCCCTGCCACCCACGCGGGAGACCTGGATGCAGTTCCCAGCCCCTGATTTCAGACTGGCCCAGCCAGGCTGTCGCAGACATTTGGGGAATGAATCAGCAGATGGATCCGTCTCTATTGATCTCTGCCTTTCAAATGAAGTGAAAATAAATTTTTTAAAGATATAATTAATTTATTTGAAAAAGAGAGGTACAGAGAGGCAGAGGCAGAGAGAGAGAGGGGTCTTCCATCTGCTGGTTCACTCCCTAGATGGCTGTAACAGCCAGAGCTTCACTGATTTGAAGGCAGGAACCAGCAGCTTCTTCCGGGTCTCCCACACTGGTATAGGGGCCCAAGCAGTTGGGCCATCCTCTACTGCTTTCCCAGGCTACAGCAGAGCTGGATTGGAAGTGGAGCAGCCGGGTCTCGAACTGGCGCCCATATGGGATGCCGGCACTGCAAGCGGTGGATTTACCTGCTGCACCACAGTGCTGGCCTTTGATTACTTAATTTTTAAAAAGAGTTTGGGCAAAGCTCATGATAATATCCTCCAAAAAATGATGCACTTATTTTGGGGTAAAAATTTTTAAATGCATGCATATTTTTTTCTTTCTTTTTAAAAGATTTATTTATTTATTTGAAAGGCAGAGTTACAGAGATAGAGGCAGAGACAAGATCTTCCATCCACTGGTTCACTCCCTAAATGGCAACAATAGCCAGGGCTTGGCCAGGTCGAAGCCAGGAGCCAGGAGCTTCATTTGGGTCTCCCATTGGGTGTAGGGGCCCAAACACTTGGGCCCATCCTCCACTGCTTTCCCAGGTGTATTAGCAGGGAGCTGAATTGAAAGTGGAGCAGCCGGGACTCAAACTGGCACCCAGATGGGATGCTGGCATCACGGGCAGCATCCTGACCCACTGTGCCACAATGCCAGCCCCATAATTTTTTCATATATATTTTGCCTATGAACTTTTGAAGACGCCTTGTAGCATGGATTTCAAACTCTTTTCCTTAGTTTTACTTATTTTTATTGCTTGTCTTATCCTACTAGAATACAGAATTTCTGAGGGCAGGGGATGGGTCCATTTTGCTTACTCATTTATCCCTGATGCCAAAAATATTTCTACCCATATTAGGTGCTCAGAAAATATTTGTTGAAATGAAGAAAAAAAAAGCAGAATTGTGTTTATCACTAAGACACCATAAAGTTTAAAAACAAAAGCCACAAATGGAAAAATGTGTTTGCAACACCTGTAACAAAGGTTTGGAATATTTAAGAAATCCTGCAAATTAATGAACAAAGATAATAAATCCAATAAAAAAGTAACAAAAATATTTGAATGGATATCTGACCAAAAAATACTATGCAATCGTAGTAAAAGGATGCTTCCACCATTCATGGTTTTCTTAGTCCATTCTGTGTTGCTGTAACAAGACACCTGAGGCTGGGTGCTTTATAATGAAAAGGGGTTTGCTTTGCTCACAGTCCTGGAGGCTCAGAGGCAGGTGCCAGCATCTGCCGAGCTCTGGAGAGGGCCTCACGGCAGAGGGCATCTCAGTGCTGGGAGCACACGGAAGAGACTGCGTGCAGACCCAGGAAGTCAGGGACTGCGCAAGGGCCAGGCTCACTCTCGCGAAAGCGCCCATGGGGACGAGAATGCAGTCTTTGAACAAAGCTCTGATCTTTCTCCCAGCCCTAAGCACCTTCAGCTAGGCCCCACCTCTTACAGGCTCCGCTGCTTCAGCACGGCCCACGGGGGACCAGGCCTCCATGAATGCGCGGTGGACAGACCACATAGAAGCCACAGCAGTAATGAAGTGTGAAACAGGTCACGGCGGTACTCCACAACCCACCCACCAAGAAGGACATCCGTGTGAGTCCTTCATGGCACCACGGGAGGCCCAGGCTCCCACTCACCGCAGAGGGCACGGGATGAACACAATGAATGTGGAGAACATTCGGCATTACCTGGTGGAGTGGAAAGCGTGTGTGCCTTCTGCCCCGACAACCTCAGTCACAGATCCAAGCGTAGGATGGAGGCCCTCTCATACCATGCTCCATACTGCATCTATGACACGCCCACTGGGAGCACAATAATGAAAATCTAAATATTCATAAACCACAGGCTAAATATACTGAAATTTATTTATACAATGCAATACAGCAATAAAAATAAATGAACTAAAACCTCACGTATCTGCACAAACCAATCTCAGGCACATAACGTTTAAGGTACCAGCTATTAAAACAATAGTTGAATGTGATTCCATTTATATAAACACAAAAGGTATTGTTAGGAGTTGTTTAGCGACTGAGAGGGGGGTGGCTGTGACGGGAGGGACTGCAGGTGGCTCCTAAGACACTGGCACAGTTCTCTTAGTTCACCTGTATTTCTCAGTATTTTTGAACTGTTGATCAGCTCCCATCTGCACACATCTCAGTGGCATTGAAGAACAAGCATTTGTATGTCCTGCTGAAGGTGGGGCATCCAACTGCTCACTTACACAGACTGTGGGTTGGGTTCACGTCTGCCCCAAGTGCCTCCTCACTTGCTTCACAGACCACCAGCTACCCGGGGCACGTTCTCCTGGAAGCAAAAGAAAACCCTTGTAAAAGCCACAGCCCCCATGAACAAACAGAACAGGAGAAGAAACAGCGATTAAAAACTGGAACCGAAGAATCAGGAAGAGTGATAACAGGCAGAAGGAGGATGTGAGAAGCAACCCAGGGTATACCAAAACTTCAGGAACTGGTGCCACAACTTGGGAAGGGGTGGAGAGAATGAGCCAAAAATATGAGGATTGCTTGAAGGCTTGCTTAAGGATTTTAGAAGCACCTGGGCCCCAAGTCTCCTTCCACACCCGGCAGGTGACCCCCTCCTCACACGCTAACAAAAGGATGCCACCACACCATCCCCCGTCGGCTTGGCTATGCCGCGGAGGGTTTGCCCACTACGGGAGCAAGCAAGCAGGTGCAGTGAGTGGGAGTAGAAGCTACTGGGTGGGTGGCTGCAAGGACAGTTGTCTGGGGAAGATTTCTTTTCAGTGTTTGGGGTTGTTTATTGAAAAAAAAGTGATGCATCACCAAAAAGCAAAGATGGAGAGAACACACGGGAAGTTGGGAAACAACATAGAAGGTGTGAAAAAGGCTTTTAAGAGCCCAAAAAGGTAAACAGGAAAGTGGAGCATCAGGTACCATCAGGTACCATCCAGGCTCAATTTGTAGTTCAAACTCATGGGCTGAAAGTAAGATGGGTTGGAACCGGCGATGTGGCACAGTAGGTTAAGCCAACACCGGCAACACCAGCATCCCATATGAGCACTGGTTTTTGTCCCAGCTGCTCCACTTCCGATCCAGCTCCCTACCAACACACCTGAGAAAGCAGCAGAAGATGGCTCAAGTCTTTTGGCACCTGCACCCACAGGGAGACCTGGATGAAGTTTCTGGCTCCTGGCTTCAGCCTGGCTCAGCCCTGGATGTTGTGGTCATTTGGGAAGTGAACCAACAGATGGAAGATCTCTATCTCTCTCTCTCTCTGTAACTGCCTTTCAAACAAATTTTAAAAATCTTTTTAAAAGAAAGATGAGTTAGCAGTTATGTGTTAATGTCAGAATATTCACAGTTTAAAAATATAGACATTGTAGACTATTGAGGTTTTTTTACTAAAAGGGGGGGTGGAGGGGAGCACTAGGAAAAAATAAGATACCCAAATATATTTTACAAACAGGATTTATACAACAGACTTGACAAATAAGATACCTCATTACAATGCAGAATCTATGAAAGCCTGAGGTTTTTTTTTTTTTAAGAATTATTTTATTTATTTGAAAGAGAGTTACAGAGAGAGGTAGAGACAGAGGGAGAGGGGTCTTCCATTCCATTAGTTCACTCCCCAAATGACTGCAACGGCCGGAGCTGCGCCAATCCGAAGCCAGGTCTCCCATGCAGGTGCGTGGGCCCAAGGACTTGGGCCTCTTTTACTGCTTCCCCAGGCCATAGCAGTGAGCTGGATCAGAAGAGGAGCAGCCAGGACTTGAATTGGCACCCATATGGGATGCAGGCACTGCAGGAGGCGGCTTTAACCTGCTGCGCCACAGCGCCGGCCCCAAAAGCCTGAGTTTTAAACAAAGTCTTGCTGAAATGTTTGCCAAAGATTGTCAGTAATTTTTGAAAACTGAAAACAATGGACCTTTTGAGATGTGCTCAGATATCAGTTCTAAAAACTATGTTACTGACAAAAGTTTACCTGAGCCATATTCTGCTTTATACACAAAGCTTAGCAGTACTATTAAGTATGTTCAGTGTTTAAATATTAGACATGAACACACTTTTGGGAACAGTCAGAAGTTCTATGTCGGCACCACATGGCAATGCAAAATTTAATTTTACTCTCATATCAAAAAACTTCTTAGGCCAGCGCTTTGGCATAGCGGATAAAGCCGCCACCTGCAGTGCCAGCATCACATATGGGAGCTGGTTCAAGTCCCAGCTGCTCCACTTCCGATCCAGCTCTCTGCTACGGCCTGGGAAAGCAGTGGAAGATGGCCCAAGTCCTTGGTTCCCTGCACCTATGTGGGAGACCTGGAGGAAGCTCCTGGCTCCTGGCTTCGGATTGGTGCAGCTCCGGCCATTGCAGCCAATTGGGGAGTGAACCAGTGGATGGAAGACCTCTTTCTCTCCCTCCCTCCCTCTCTCTCTCTCTTTCTCTCTCTGCCTCTGTCTCTCTGTAACTCTGCCTTTCAAATAAATAAATAAATCTTTAAAAAAAAACTTCTCAATCTTGAACATCAATCTCACACATGAGTGTGAATAAAGGACCCTTTATGGGATGGCAAATCAGCAGAGGAAGGTGTCACATTGTCACTGACAAGAAAGAAGCAATGTGCTGTGTGGTTTAAGAGCCAAGGCATCTGTTTCATTCCCACCCTATAGTTACGCGTGCTCAAGATTCAATTATAGTGGAGCACAAGATAACAGACTTGCTGGCTTTGGCAATGCTGTCAAGATTGTGGCCAAGTTCATCATTCTTCCCCAGTCACAGGCAACTACATAGCATTTAAGAGATTTTGGAACTGCCTGCTCATGCATTCATAGAAGATGGTCAAACAATGAGGAATAGTGGCTAATGAATGTTTGGAAAAGGAAAGCAAAAGAAAAAACAGCTGCTAGTCCTAAAGAAAGCCTCAGGCATTGCACGTAGCAGAAATGAGTACCTTCAGCACAGGGCTCACTAACAAGCTGTTCCTTACGGAGAAGGTGGCTTATTGGCTGGAGCCAACCATCAGAGGATAAGAACCACACGACGCTACCTCCTGGGGGAGCTTCGGGTCACGCGGCTCCACCAAAGGTGCTGCAATGGCTGTGCGCTCCGAAAGAGCTCAGATACAGACGGAAATTCACAGATTCTGCTAACCTGAAGGCCAAGTCCATTGCTCCACAGATACATTTATAAGTCCAAAACGTAAGGATGAACTTGGCCTGTGTGATTATGTAAAACATCACATGCATCCAAAAGCTTTAAAATACAAAACAGTGAACACCATCATCTGCAGTATTTTTCCTCTGGTTGTGTAAAAAGCTTAAATGTGTACGACAGTCTCCATAGTATGTGCAACCACCAACGACCAAATCTCCAAAGGCAGAAATATCAGGAGTAGATGAGTAGACACCTTAGCTGGCTACAATTCTAGAGGAAAGAATGTCCAGCAACGCAGAGGCAACGTGACCATATCAAGTCCCCCCACCAGAAGTTGAATGTGCATCTCCCTGGAGGACAAAGGTGTAACCTGACAGTGACAGGCAGCCCAGCAGCTGAGACGTCCAGGTAGGAGCGCGCACCTGGACCATTGCTGGGTTTGGATAGGGCTGCCCCTGCAAGGGTTCCTGTGTGATCTGGTCCTCAGCGGGGCAGTGTGGAGGTTGTGGGACCTTTGACAGACAGGGTCTAGTGGGAAGTCCCTAGGTCTGTGGAGCCCTATCCTTGGGACAAGCTAACATGGTTCTCCTGAGACCTCCATTGATCCCCAGTTTGTCCCTTCGACTTCCTGCCTCACCACGAGAGCTCCCCTCTTGCTCCAGCTGTTGCAATCCATCTCCATGAGGTCTGCACAGAATCAAGCAGGTGTCGGCACCACGTCATGACCGCCAGAACTAGCAGTCAAATAAACTCTTTCCTTTATAAACTTAGCAGCCTCTGATATTTCATTATGTTAACAGGAAATGGACTAATTTGATCAAAATGATGAATTTTAAAATTTTAACATGATCTATAATGATTAAGCTCATTGGCCTCATTGTGAATTGCCTTTGATATTCCTGAATTCATTCTACGATGGTCGCATTTGCCTTGGGATCAGTTCTGCTACGTATTCAGCTTACTGATCAATCTCTCCACATTTGCCTAAAATACGTGTGGTGCTATTGCACTCTACTTGTACGGAAGTCATGTGTGCACCACAAAATTACAACAAAAAGAGAAAACATGCCAAAATGTTGACCATGGCTTTCTCCAGGTGTCCGTCAATTTTTTTTTTTCTTTTTTGCTGGCCAAAAAGCAAATGTTTTCATTGCCTTAAAAGATAGGAAACAAGTTACAAGAATGAAATAAGAATAACTTCAGGATTTTTATTCGTTTCCAGATACCAAAAGATAATTGAATAATACCTTTAAGTTCTGGAAATAATCATTCATAAGATTCCCTATGGGAAATTATCAAATGAAAAGACATTAACAAGTTGTGATTTTATGTAATTGCCTATCTCTTCAGTTTTTGGGATGGCAATTTTCCTTGAGTCATCAGTTCTCTGAAGAAGTTAAGATCACTGGTTTGTAGTTGGTTCATGTTTTTTTCTTGTGAAAACAGCAGAAACAGCTTCCAAATCTCTTCGCACACCAGCCCAGAAACTTAAAATCTCCAAGATGTTCTTTGAAGATGTGTCCAGCCAAACAAGACCAAAATGGAAAAAGATAAAAAAATAAAACTAGAAAATAATGTTTCTAATGCAAAAAAAGCAGCATGGGGAATTCCAAAATAGCATACAAGTAAGCGGCAAATACTAACAGTCCATGCTGCCGTGTAATGCTCCAAGGGTCAGCGACTTCCTTCCACTTTGAACATGTATTTTGCTTCCCAATTTCTTCAGAAATACACATATTGATACCAGAGGGGAGGGCAAATTTTTTCTTGCAAAAATAGTACTTATGGAAAAATAGCTTTAAAATGAAGACTAATGCCGGCGCCGCAGATCACTAGGCTAATCCTCCACCTTGCGGCGCCAGCACACCGGGTTCTAGTCCCGTTCAGCACAGCGTGCCAGCCGCAGCGGCCATTGGAGGGTGAACCAATGGCAAAGGAAGACCTTTCTCTCTGTCTCTCTCTCTCACTGTCCACTCTGCCTGTCAAAATAAATAAATAAATAAATAAATAAAATAAAATGAAGACTAATGACTCTGCTTTATATTGTGTTACACAGGTACCTGTGGAAAGTATTTTTAACAGTATGATAGACTTGCTCCAGGAGTGCATTTTGGGATTCTACAGCGATTTTAAATAGCCTTAACTCTGCTCATACATCGCTACATTTGCAG